CAGGATCATGTTTTGCCTAGTGTCATGTTCCTCGGTCCCAGGTAACTCCCAAGTCATACAAGTCCAGAGAGTCTGGCTTCCTTGCCTTGGGCTGACTCCAGGCCCACCTATGTGATGTTTGTCTTCTGTTCTTCTTCCACTTGGTTGCTTCTGACCCAATACTTTAGAGACTGGCACCTCTTTCAATTTCTTCCATATTCAGGATGGTATTTAGAATAAGCTTTGCTCTTAGGTATTCATTAATTAGACTATTACTCTACAGATCCACAAACTGGGTTTATGTGGCTTCAACCACTATTTGAATGACCGCCCCCTCCAACCTCCTAGTGACAAGAGAATGTGACAAAGATCATGCCTTTAAATATACACCCAGTAATACTCAAAATTCCTATGTATCTGGTGGTTAAGAAGGTTTCATTCTGCATATTATTCTACTCTGTAGTTTTTTATTACAGAATGAGGTCTAAAATAATACTTAGACATAGTAATTTCCCCTGGCAATGTTTCCTTTTTGCATAAAGAAATTTACAGCCTGGGATGGTGTGGCTCAGTGGATTCAATGCCAGCCTGGGAACCATAGGGTCGCTGGTTCGATTTCCAGCCAGGGCACATCCCTGGGTTGCAGTCCAGGTCCCAAGTAGGGGATGTGCGAGAGGCAATTACACATTGATGTTTCTCTCCCTCTTTCTCCCTTCCTCTCTCTAAAAACAAATAAATAAAAATCTTTAAAAATTTATATAAAAAAGAAATTTACAATGAGGTATTTCATGTAGGTTTGAAATACTTTCTACTGAAAGTTATACCAGTCACTGTCAATATCAAAATGCCAGATCCAGGTATATCCTCCTTAGATATTTGCAGTGAATGCTGAATTTTCAGTTATTATCACTGATGACATCTTTTCATCCATCCATTCAATAAATATATTTAAAAGCACCTATGTGAACAACTCCGTGCTAAGTGCTACATACAGAAATAAACAACAACAACAAATTGGTTCCTGATCTAACAAAGCTTGTCAACTAGTGGGGGTAATTAAGGTATATAGTATGGACGCTATGCATTGCAGCAAGCAGGCTTTCACCTAAACGCTGTGATTATTTCCGTCACTACAACCCTGCCTAAGATGTGGGAGAGAGAGAGATTTTTTCCTATTGGTCTTGACCACAAATGGGCTCAGGTATCGAAGATACCAGCCAAGTGTGGCTGGGAAATAAGAAAGTACACTCTTGAACACCAAGCAGGAGATATAGATAATTTCAAAACAGGTGTCTTAAATAAAGGGTTTAAGTGTGAAAAATGTAACATAAAAAAACTGCTATACAAAAACATAGGTGGTTAAAAAATATTATAGCCTTGGGTAGGGAATGGTTTCTAGGCATGAGACCAAAGGCAGAATCATAAAGAAAAAAACTGATACACCTGATTACATAAACATTTTAAACTTCTGTAGGGTGAAAAAGCGAAAGGCAATAACAATTCATCCCAAAATTCAAACACAAAACAAAAAAGGTGACATGTATGAAGGGCTCTTACAAATTAATAATCTCAATTTGAAAGCCTCCAAAATGCGACTACGTAATTCACAAAACACAAACATAATAATAGCTAATTATTTCTTAAGAATTTTTTAATCCTCACCCAAGGATACATCTTTCATTGATTTTAAAGAGAGAGGAGGGGAGAAAGAGAAACATTGACTGCCTCCTGTACATGCCCTGAATGGGGGGCACTGACCTGCAACCTTTTGGTGTGTAGATAGGGACAGCACTTCACCTGAGTCACCGGGCCACAGCCCAATAACAGCCAATATTTGTGGAATTTTTATGTGCCAATATGGTATACTGATTGCTAAAATTGCCCTTATTCTCCACCCCTCTATGAACCTGTATCTTCTTACAATTTGAGTTTGCTGCTTCATCCATCAAGAAACAGAGTCTATTTCCCCATTTTCTTAAATCTGGGCTGGCCTTGTGACTTGCTTTGACCAAGAGAATATAGCAGAGTTGATGGTGTTCATTCTAAGCTTAGGCCTCAAGAGGCCTTTCTACATACACCTCATGGAACCTTCTCACCTTTGCTAGAAGAAGCCAGAGTTAGCCTCTTGGAGAACGAGAGATAACATGAAAGAGAGCCAAGTGGCTTGGCTTCCTAATACTTGAAGACTTTTATGATGAGATGGATAATGATATTAAAGAAATCTGACTGATACTGTATAATGGAATGTGTCAAAATTAGAAAGATATGTTTAATACAATGAACCACTATTTTCCAAATGACAAGTTTGACATTACAAAATCATGCATAAGATCCATTCAAAATGTAAGAGAGAATCATGGACTTGAACGTAACAGAGTAAAAAAGTACATTGATTGTTTCATATTCCACATTGCAGCTAACCTTTAAAAACTACCACTTGTCAAACTTTGATGGGATATCAAAGCATATCCATGTCTATCTAAAAAGAGTTGTTAAAATATTTCCCTTTTCAACTACATATGAGTGAAAGGTGGGATTTTCTTCATCTTCTTAAGTCAAACAAAACAGTGCAGATTAAACATAGAAGCAGAAGTAAGAATCCAGCTATCTTCTATTAAATCAACCAAAAAAACCTAGAAAACAAGTATTGGTAAAGATGTGGAGAAACTGGAATCCTTGTATTGCCAAAGGGAATGTACAATGGTGCAGATACAATGGAATACAGTATTGTGGTTCCTCAAAAAACTAAAATAGAATTATCACATGATCCAGTCATTCTACATCTAGGTATAGATCCCAGTGAATTGAAAACACACTCAAACAGATATGCACATACCAAAGATCTAGCAGCATTATTCAAAACAGCTAAAAGGTGGAAACAACCCAAATGTTCATGGACAGATGAATGGACGAACAGAATGTGGTATATCCATAAAAAGGAATAGTATTCAGTGTTAAAAAGGAAGGAAATAATCATGCATGCTAAAATATGGATGAACCTTAAAGACATTATGCTAAGGGAATTAAGTCAGTCACCAATGAACAAATATTGCATGAGGTACCTAAAATAGTCAGATTCATAGACAGAAGAATAGTGGTTACCAGGGAGTGGGGGAGGGGATAATAGAAAGTTACTGTTTAATGTAACCTCAGTGCTCAAATTTAATTTGTTTTGGAAAACTGTTTGAGAAGTGATTTGTCCAAAGACTGAATGGCCTTTGTCTGCCAAAATGCATGTGACTAATCATACAGGAATCAGCAAGAAAGTGTTGTCGGGTAGAGAATTGAGGCGGCAGTTCTGTTAAACAGCTGAGCCACTTCCTCTGGGGACAACTCGGTCAAGAACTGAACTGGTGGAGAACCAAGATGTTCGAGAACTGAGGTGTGACTGTAATTCCAGTTTGGGATGATGAAAAAGCTCAGAACACAGATAGTGGGGATGGTTGCACAACATGTGAATGTGCTTAATGCCACTAAATTGTGCACTTAAAATGAATAAAATGTAAATCTGATGTTATGCCTATTTTACAATTTTTAAAAGCTGAAAAAAGTGAGAAATGAAAACTCCACAATTCCAGTCTTCTCATTGATTTTGAGAGGAATTTTGGAAAACAGTTACTTTTATTAAAAATGTTATTTATCCCTGGCTGGCGTAGCTCAGTGGTTTGAGCGCTGGCTGCAAACCAAAGCATTGCAGATTTGATTCCCAGTCAGGGCACATGCCTGGGTTGCAGGCCATGGCCCCCAGCAACCGCACACTGATGTTTCTCTCTCTCTCTCTCTCTCCCTCCCTTCCCTCTCTAAAAAAAATGTTATTTATCCATGTAATGAGTTTATTACCGTATTTTAAATAAACTAATAAACACTTGAAAAAATCTTCCAGTTCTCATTTCTAATACAGTAAATATGGAAAGACATAACTTACATAAATAGAAGCTCTTTGGTCCTGAGTAATTATTGAGAGATAAAGGGGTTTTGAGACTACAAAGTTTGAAAACCACATCTTTTATGACATTTATTCTCTCTTCTCACAACTATATTATGTAAAGATCTTCATCTGCTGGTATAGCTTTATTTGACAGCTATACCACCTGCAGCCTGCAGACTAAAAGGACAGCCTGAAATGTGGTCAAAATCATCTTTTTAATTTCTATTGTCCCCTGGATGCACCATAACCATAAGGACTGAGCAACACAAAGCTCCACACAGATTGAGTGTCGATGTCCAACTGAAAACTGTTAAAAAGCTTAAATGCTGATATGTTCTAAGTAGTTTTATAAGCAGCAAGCAAGAAACACATATTTCCTTTTTTCTGTTGGATCTTCATTCGCACACTGTTTCTGAAAACCACTCAATGCATCCGTGCAAAAAATTTAATTCTCTCACCATCTTGCAGAGGGATGGGGTTAGGGAGCTAGGAAACAATCCAAATCAGCAGCTGAGGCTGCCCAAAACTGTGTCCGAGCATTAATTTCCTCCATTTTGGGCCAAGTCAATTTGCCCCGGCAAGAGGCCGAATGTTATGGGAAGGAAGTAAATAAAAATGATACTAGAAAGCATGGACGGAAATCAGTAAAACCACAGCGGGTTCATCTTGTGTGGACGCTAAATGATTTGTACGCTAAGTGTGTGAAAGGCAAATGAGAATTTCATGCCTGAGTCTACAGCACTTTTAACGACGGGTCTGCAGTTCTGAATGAGGGCAATGATTTTCTTATTCGGACCATCTTACAGCACTCACTTTGGGCCGGGCCTGTGACCAGTCTTGCTAAGTGCAGCTGAGGCAGTTCCAAACAAAGGGGAATGGATGGCCTCCCGAGGGAGCGGAGGCGAGCTAGGTAGCCCTCCGGTTCCCGAGCCAGGTGTCCCTCAAGTTAGACCCGGCGGGGACTCCGGGAGGGAGGGTCCCGGGAGCGTCGCAGGGGTGTGGTGGGGAAACGCTGGGCCGGAGCGCAGAGCAAGGCCGGGGCAGAAGATCCCGCCCTGCCCACGGTCAAGGTTAACACGCGCAGGGGAGGTACCTGTGGAGGCCTCGCACAGCCGAGAGGGTCTGGGCGATCATGGGAGCGCCAAGACGCGGCGGTGGCGGTAGCGGGCTCGTACTGCTCCGGGGTAGGGATGGGGGAGGCAGGACGCTGGGGAGCCGTGAGGCGGCCTAGCCGCGGAGGTAACGGCGGCGGCGGCAGCGCCGGTGGAGACTGCGCCGGGTCGGCCCGAGCTCTCCCACGTGCCGCAGCCCACGCCACCGCCCACTTCAGCCCCGCCCCGGACCCCGCCCCGGGCCCGGCTCCGCCCCGCGAGCCCTGCCCCGCCCTGTAGGCGGTTCTGGCGAGACCTAGCATCTCCGAGCGAAGCGCGCAGCCGGGTGGGCTCCGGAGCTGCGGGGGCCTGGGAGCTGAGGAAGTTTGAGTGACTGCTGGCGGAGGGGCCAACGGGAGCCAGGCTCCAGCCTTGAGGACCAGGGGGCGGGCAGACCCGCTTCCGGACGACCCCGGGCCCGCTGCCACCGTCTCGAGCCCTCTCTGGTAAGGGGCTTCTGTTTGGGAAGTGTGTATCTCCCGCCGCCCCAGGCGGGGCCTGCTCCGAGCACCCGGCGCAGTACCCGTCAGGGCGGAGGGTAGGCCCGGGTACTTAAAGGGAGGAAGAAAGGGGTCCCTGTGCGCTAGGGATAATAAGGAGAAGCCTGGAGGAGGTTGGACATCTCCATTTCCCCTCTGCGCAGCCCCCCGCCCATTCCCCCATTCTTTTTTAACCTTCTGCTCTGGGGCCTTATTTAGTACATGCAACCCATGGCCTAAAGGCTGGACTCGCTTTTAAAATAAGCACACAGATAATAAACATCCTAGCGGTGGGTACCACACCCTGGCTTTGAATTAGGGACCTGGGGAGCAGATGGATGTTGCGATTTAGTGGGAATTAGCCATTAATGCCGCCTGGCCCTGCGCCACTGCTTCGATGCCATAGTATTCCCTGTGAATGAATTTGACCGGGAGCTTCCAGCTTGTGCACGAGGGCACAGCTACTGCAGAGAGCACTGGTCGGTTTATAGTATCCATCGACTTAAGCAATGATTTCCTGACTTGTATGGTGTTTAAATAGAAATGCCATTTTTATTAAGAATGACACTCAGCGATCGAACAACCTTTCGTTAATATACTTCATCAAATAACTGTCTCAGCCTGCAAAAGTAGGTGGAGTGTAAATTATGTATACATTTTTTAAAATCTCATGAAATAGAGGAAGATGCTCAGCGTGGATCAGCTTCTGAGTCAGCAGTATGAAATCTCCCTCAACTTACTACTGAGGCCTTTTGGAGGTTTCTACACCTGAGACTATACCCTTATCCTTATCTCTGTGTCATATATGCTGTTAAGATACTGTGAGATATTCATTAAGAGTCCAAGCTTACCTTGTACATGTTTTGAGAAAAATTTTACTTTTGCAAAAGTATATTTTATACTTTTGCAAATTATAAATGAAAACATATAATGCATACCATAATGCTCTTTATGCTCTCCTGACTAAAAATATAACACTTTATGCTCTCCTGACTAAAAATATAAAGCAGTGAGGTAATACAGGTTTTAGTTTTTGCTTTTTACTTTTAGTGTAACTTACAAACCTGGTTATTTATAACCTTTCTGACTGATTCTTTAAAATTTCTTTGTTCGGTGTTTTCCTTTTTCTTATGAAGGAAAGGTGTTTAAACTTTTAAAATGTCATCTATCAAGCACCTAGTTTATGCTGTTATTCGTTTCTTACGGGAACAAAGTCAGATGGATGCTTATACTTCAGATGAACAAGAAAGTTTGGAAGGTAGGCACCTGTTTTTATGTTCATTTGTGTTATAATTATAAACAAACACTAAAATAGGTATAAGCCTGACTTTATGATCTATTATAACAAACTCTATTAAAACAAAGTCTTTCCAGAAGAGGGATGTAACTATGAGATTATCCTGAGTTTCCATTCTCTGAGGCTTATTTTGTTTGTTTTAATTAACAAGAGAAGAGGACTCATGCTTATTTGTTGAACTGGTACTATGTGTAAGAACTATGCAATTCCTATTGTAGGGAATTTTTCTTCGCAGTTACTGCTAAATTAGTATTATCCCCATTTAACAGATAAATAAATGAAATCAGATTAAGTAACATAAACCAGTTAATGTGTAGCAGAGCTCAGATTTAAATCCCAGTTTCCCTCTGAAGATTTTGTTGTCCCTTCTTTCTAATAGGAAAGCATCCAGTTGAGAGTCAATATATGAAAACACCTTAGTCATTATAAAAGCACCATGTAAAAGCCTAATAATTATAGCACTGTTTTGCTCTGACAACTTCCTATTTGGGGACTTGAAATGAGAGGACTGCACCCTTGTTTTATATGAGCTTTAAATATTAGATTCGGTAATCTGTCAAGTTGAGCAACGCTTTCATGAGAGCCTCACATGCTTCCGTGACATTGTCTTTTCTGCTCTGTATTTATGCACTGCAAACTTCACATTTAGTGTGACCGTAACAAGACAGAATTCTGCACATGGGCTGTGGAGGTTCAACAAGCCCAGTTTCTTTGTGGCCCAAAGACTTAATTATACAATGAGACAATGCATCTGGGAGAACTTCAATAACAGTGCAATTTTATTTTCCCATCTTGAAGCTGTTTCTCCTATAAAGGTGGCACATCTATTAATTTTAACAAGCACTCCCCTTGTGAATATGCTTTTAGGAGGTGGGGATGAAAATCGGACATTTGCTCTAAAATTGCTTATATTCTGGTGAGATAATGTCTTGCCAGGTGGCAGTGAAAGAAGCAGGTGACACAGCTGGAGAACATGGGAATCAGCCCCTTTAATATTAAGGGTGGTTAGAGTGTGTGAGGGTAAAGGTGGCTAGTTATCTCGGGAGGATGCTGGTTATGGCTGTTCTGTAGCAAACAGATAAATGCAGTCATTTAATAAAATATGTTTCTTTCCTAATTAAAGGCAGTGTAATATTTTTAAGGGCCAGAAGGAAAATTTTTAAACCAAGATGTTATGTCCTATTTTTAGAATGGTACCCAGCCAAAAATATGTGCCTTCAGCTGTTTGTTATATGTGGCCTCCAGAAATGGAGCCGATTGTTTTTGACCAACACCTATTTCTAACTCTGTGTGTCTAATTTTATTGAATATGAAATCATGTGGGGATGTCTGCCCACCTTCTAGCCATTTAAAAATAGTCTTAGAAAAGGAGCTTAGGTTCTACTACCGGCTTTACCAATATGATGAGCTGGTCTATTACTGGCTGTGAGCCTTCTCATTAGTTTATGTCACCAACTCCTAATTGTTGTCATCTTCTGACAGCTACTTCATGTTTTGACTGTTGCAGCTCCTGCTCACTGTCACTCTCTCTAGCACTTCTCCTGTCTTAATTCTTGGTAATTGCAATGTACTCACAGATGATTCTTCCAGTTCCCTTGACTCTTTCCTCCAGTGATCTCAGCCACTCACTCCTTTGATCAGACCCTAGACTAGTGGTTCTCAGCTCAGGGTGATTTTGCAATGTCTGGAGATGTTTTTGATTGTCGTGACTGGGGAGCTGCTATTGCTGGCTTCTAGTGGGTGAGGGCCGTGGATGCTGCTCAACATTCTACAATGTCCAGGACAGCTTGCAGCAACAAAGAATTAACTAGTCCAAAATGTTAGTACAGCCAGTGTGGAGAAACTCTTCCCTAAACCTGTCATTACCCAACTGCATCCCCTCCATAATCTCTATCTTAAACATTTCACTTCTTGACCACTACTGCTTGCCTTTCCAGCCTCTGGCACCTCTGCACCTCTGGCACCTCTCCTTACCAATACCTCCAGTCTCTTGACCCTTACCTTTCACACTCAACTTCTTACCCAATTTAAATTCCATGGTTGATTGTAATCACACCCTTGTATATCCCTCCCTTCCTTGCAAAACTCAACTTTGTGTAAATCCAGGTCTTCATCTACTCTCTATGCATATCCATGTGATATATATAGCTGGAGCAAAACACAACTTTGCTGACTTGGTCCCACTTTAAATTCATGACAATAAGCCTTAAGTGGACCTTTAATGCTGTCCAGCAATTACAGTGTCTGTTCCTAATTCATTCACACTTTGGCTCTCCAACATGATCATTTTAATATTTGCTCATATTTTCTCAAACCCCCAAATTTCCTTTCCTGTACTCACTTTTAATTCATGACCTCACTGCCTATTGCACCAAGAATATTGAAGTGATAAGAAGACAACTTCCACAGACTCTCTCTGCCCCACCTATCCACACACCAGCACCTACACTCGCCTACTCTGCCTGCCTGCCTATTATCATATGCTATGGACTAAATATTTGTGTTCAGTCCTGGCTGGTGTTGCTCAGTGGATTGAGCACCAGCCTGCAAAACAAAGGGTCATCCATTGGATTCTCAGTTAGGGCACATGCCTGGGTTGCAGGCCAGGTCCCCTGTAGGGGGTATGTGAGAGGTAACCACACACTGATGTTTCTCTCCTCTTAAAAAAAAAAAAAAAGAAGATCATCAGTGATTTCTGTGTTATTAAGGTCAATGATCAGTTCTCAGTATTTATCTGACTTATTAGCTGCCATGGATAAAGTTGCTGATCACTCCCTTAACCCCTTTTCCCTCATATACTCTATTCACTTGGCTTCCAGGTTACCTAATACTCTCTTGGATTTTTTCTTATCTCTTCATTTGCTCCCTCTTCGTCTCCTTTGCTGGTTCTTTTTCTTTTCCCTGACCTGGAGTACCCAGGGTCCAAAGCTTGATCTTCTCTTCATTATCTACACTCACTTTTTTGGTGTTATTATGCAGCTTCTTGGCCTTAAATGTCATTTATTTATATGCTGATAGATCTCAAATGTATGTTCACAGCCCAGACATTTCTTCTGAACCCCAGACTTCTATATACAACTGTCTACTACATATTCCCACTGTATGTCTAACAGGCATTTCAAATTGAACATTTCCCAAACCAAAGTCCTGATCCTCCCACACCCAATCTGTTCTATCCACAACTTTCCTATCCCAGTTGGTGCCAAGTCTCCCTTTTCAGTTGCTCAGGCCCAGAACTTTGGCATCAGCTGGACTCCTCTTTCTCTCAGACTCTACATGTAATCATTCAATAAATCCTGTTGGCTGTACCTCCAAAATATGTCCGGAGTCTGACCACTTCTTCTCACCTCTCTGATATCACCCCTGGATAGAAC